AATTTTTTTTGTGGGTTTTTGACTGATGTCCTTACTACTTGACATGAGAGGCTACAGTCTGCAATGCTCTTTTTGGACATAAGATGAGAGAATGAAGTTTGCTGTTTGCTTGGGTTGCAGGAGAACTTCCTATCTTGAGAGAAGGGGCCAGACAGGCAGCTAAATGCCCCAGTTGTCTGTCTGGTTGTAAGCTGGGAAAATAACAAATATATGCTTCCATGTCCTCTCACCCAGTTATTACACATAAAGCCAAGTGTTTGCTCCAAGTAGTTGTCTGCAGCCAGTCGATTTGGGGAAGGGGGCAGTAGGGGGATTGGTGTTGTTTTATTTCTGTTATTTATTAAGAGTTACTTTTTTTTTTCCAATAATTATTTACTAGGTTATTCACAAGAAATAAGAAGTTCTGTGGCCAAAGATTGGTTAACAGGAGGGAACAGTGGTGTGTCATGTGTAACATCTAAATGACATCATTTAGAGGCTTAAAAAATAGTAATTTAGATGCACACACTTTTGTCCTTAAAAACAAAACCAAACCCAAACCACTTCATTCTGACTTTTAAAGATCGAGTCTTTCTTGAGGAAAGACTTTCTCTCTTCAGAGATATTTTGCATTGGGCTGTGATCCAATGTACATTGCTGTGTCTTTCACCTGATAAGGTGCATAAGGTTGGCAGTTTAGTTTGTGACCTTTGGCTATCATGTCAATAGTTGTCTGTATTGAGTGAGGTGAGTCTGATCTGCAAGAAGACCATCAGGTTTTGTGTTGGGTATCCTCTTGTACTGTGACATTGCACATAAATATGCGTGTCTTCTCCAACCTGTGAATGTGAATGGACCTTAAGAGTAACAATCACACATAGACCTAAAATCCTATCTCACAATGGGTGCATGGGGAAGACTGTAAGAACAGAACCAACATACTTTCATCTCACAAATTTACAGAGGCAGCGGTTCTGGCTCAGGATTAGTCATTCAGTGGGCTTTTTCTTGAACCTGTCACAGAATCACAGAAGGATTAAGGTACCACCTGTCCGCCTCTTTCCCCCCGCAAAATCTGGTAGTGTATCTGTGTTCACATAACTCTGTAGCAATGAGTTTCACACCTCAGCTGCTTCTTGTGGAATGATCACCTTTTGCTTGTTTTGAACCTGCCTTTTATTAATTTAATTTGGTGTTCTCTGTCTCTCTTCTAGGAAATGACATTTAACTTTCAAATGCTCTCTCTGTGCTGTTTATCTCTAATCCCGTCCCTCTGTGTACGAGATGAGAAGACACCTTCTTTGGCCAGATTCTCCTAAGGCAAATCACTTGATGTCTACCAGGAAAGGATCTGGCATGCTGTTTTCACATAGTGCTAATTCTTTCTTTAATGACACCCGAACAGATAGGTCAAAGGTCCAATTCTGAAGGGTTATTTTTCATTATTGCCTTGCTCTGCGGTGAAACATCAAATTTGATGTAACCTCGTAGAGGCAGAATTCTGCTTGTCCTCAGAAGGGTTAACGTGTTTTTTTTGAGTGGAAGAAGCCTGAAACATTTGTGTCCTGGCCCTTGAAATGTATTTTCCAGCCTTCCTGTGGGACGTAAGTCAGTAAGTCAGTAGCCAGGCATTTGCCTGACTGAGGGAACCCGTGGGTGGGCCCAGTAAGCTGTTGGAGAAGCTGCCTTGTGCAAAGGGATCCCTCCCCAGTGTCACAGATTAAGAACTGAGTTAGGGGAGTGGGAATTGGGTGCAAGTTGGGAGGAGTAAGGTGACTTATGTATTGTGGGCTAAGCAGTGTTTGAGCTGATAGCTGTTTCTCCTCCTCCTCTCCTCTCCGTACCTGTGTGACAGGTAAGACTGGCTGTGCAACAAGGGTCCTTGCATTTCTGGATGTCCCTCATACTGACTTCTCCTTAGGTCTGAGAGGGTTGTCTACCTGTGATAAATAGCATGTCTTTTAATCTGTCAGTGTTCAGCTGCACGTGGGCTGGAAATTAGAGGCAACCAAGTCACTGTAGTTCAGTGTAGGTGCACGAGGCCAAGGAATGAAGGCGGAGCTGTAGTTTTTAATCCTTCAGGCTCTTGGTTGTCTTTCTGGACTGCTGTGCTGTGTGGGATGGTAACATGGCTGTGTGACTCCTCTCCTGCAAGGTGTGGGCTGGGGGATACTAGGGCTCCTTCAAGTCACCTGTCAGAGGCACTGACCTCCTTTGCAAAGGGATCCCTTCTCAGCACAACTGCTTTGTAGGTTGTGTCTTCATTCCACCATGTGTTTCTGAAACTTCACTGCCTTTTTTTTTTCCACTAATTCTCTTTTGAATTATATATATAAAATGCTGTTTTGAGACTTGCAGAGGGAGACATATAACAGGTGTCTAGCAGTCTTGCAAGAGAGTCCTTGGAACTTGGATATGGATAAGCTATAAATCTCTTCATCACATCCACAAAACCATGAGTGGAATCACAGAGGTGGAGAGAAACGTGTTGTGTGGCTTCTGCCACATACAGGTGACTGCTGGTTGAGACCAGACTAACTGGATATTTTTACTGAGCAGAAACTGAACAGAGAGGAGAGTAGCAAACTTGCTAGAGGCCTGTTGAAAAGAGATCACCAGAAGCTTCACTTGCAGGAGAAGTGGAGTTGGAGGAATGTGTGGCCTCTATCATCATAATCAGTTTTGTAAACTCTAACCAAGCCCTTCAGCGAATGACACAGCAACAGTTTTGAGACATGCAAAGTTTCCTGCTACCAGAAAGGACAGTGTATATTGCGGTATTCAACTATGGCCTTCCCCTGACCCATTGTGCAGCAGAAGTAGAAGTAGTCACTAGTCAGTAAAGGACAAGAAAGAGCTTGGAGGCTGTATTTCTACCTTTGCTACCAGACCACATCCATGTGGTGGGTGAGGGCTGTGGTGACTTACTGCCATCTCTAATTTCAGTCGTTGTGAGCTGCTGAACCCTGGCCCCAAGCACAACTGCAGCAATATTTATACAGAGAGGTTTTGGTTCTTGTGCTGGCTTGAGTTTATCTTGAGTGAGATTTAATAGAGGCATCTTGGCTAGCCTGTTCTAAAAATATTTGCTTAGAGCTTCTGAGAACAGACCCAGTGTGGGTAGGAGTCAATGAAAGAAGCTGTTGCTGTGATTCATCTGATACAGGTGTGTAACACCAGATCCCTAGCTGTTGTAAAACAGCTCAACTGTAGCCACAACCTGAATTCCATCCCCTGGGATCTACGGTTGTTAGATCCCTGCCATTTCTGGTAACCTAAAAGGTGTACGTGATCGCGCACCATGGGCTCATTAGTGATGGATATGGCGCTTCTCTGGAGTGCCAGTGAGGCATTGGGGCTTGTTGCTCTTTCCCTAAAGCTCCTGGTAGTTTTGTCCTTAGTCTTCCCTGTGGAATGTTCTCAAGTTAGCTCTGGGAAGGGCAGGGAGAAATCTAGATATGGATGTTTGATACGGATTATGACTGCTGCAAGAGAACTGATGTGGGGGAGAAGGGAGTTGCAGAGAGAGCGGCTGCGCTTTGTGGCTTTGGCATAAACAATGTTTTGACCTTCTTTTTTTTTCCTTTTCTTTTTGGGCCTCTTCCCAGTGCCGAACCCAGCCACTGTGCTTGGGAAGTTGATTCTGCTGGGAGTTCTCTGATGGACTCTACTTGGGAATGAGTATCCCAAAGCCTGCGGCAGTGCCCRGGCTCCTCTGCGTGTCCCGTCAGGTTTTGGCCACAGTTGTGACTTCTTTCAAGGAGCCTTAGACATGGGAGAAACTCACAGTGCCACAATACAAAACATGTATTAAATTTGCCTCTGGGAATGCAGGAGGATCAAGGAGAAGATTTAAAGCAATAATAAGGCAACATATGCGTGGATGTGTGTGTAGACAAGAACACACGCACACAACCTTTTGCTGTTACCTATAAGCCTAGCATTTTCTTCCCTCAAGATCTAGGTAGCCTAACTTAAACCTTTGCTTCTGGAAATCAGGTTTGCTTCTGCCCCACTCAGAAGAGAAGCTCAATTTTCTTGCTTTCTGGTTAAGAAATTCTACCACTTGCACCCCGAGAGTTGCAGCTTCCACCATCTCTGGCCACTTGAGATATGTGAAACAGCTGAAAGTTAAATTACACTCTAGGCCTATGCAGAAGATTACAGGGTTGGCTGAACTTGCACCTTTCCCATAAAAACAGGGATGTTTTGGTCATGGGACAAGCCTGGAAACAAGGCCACTGAGGAGAGGCCCCACTAGCCCATCATTACTTTAAGCCAGGCAGATGCTTCAACAAGCTGGACAGTGCGTGAGGGTTATGAACCCTAGGTTTGAACCTAGCAATTAAAAAAAAAAAAAAAAAAAAAGAAGGGAAAGACTTGGGAGGCAGAGCTATTCTAAAAATAAAAACTGAAATAATAATAAAAGAGGACTGTAAAAAAAGGTTTGTCCAAACAGGGACTATTTGACTGGAATTCTAGCTGCTGAAGAACCCTGGCTTTAAAATCCCAAACAAGTCCAGATATTCAGTTCTCACTTGTGGCTGCTTGAAGCTGAGACTGAGGAAAGCTGAGAGTTTCCTCTCATCTCTAACTCTGCTGTTTTACTAGAGGAGAGGGCATGTATTATAGCCTGTTTTGCTAGAGTGAATGGTGCCTGTAATGCTGAGCATCTCTAAAATAAAAATTAATGGAGAGCTTGGGAGAAAGGAAAAATAACATGTTCATTTGAAGCTCTGTTTGACTCACTCCTTCCCTTTTCCTTGTGTTGTTCCATAGGCCAAAACTGCCTTTCAGTGTCTCGTAGTCTCCCCTGCATTCCTGCTTTCTCTACTAGAGTTACTTCAGTGCTTTTATTGAATGGATGGCGCTTCCTTCATTCAAGACAAAGCAGAGTCCCATGGCAACTGCAGCAACTGTTTACCTGTAAAAATAACAGTGAGGAAATTTAGTGAAGTGTTTTCACTAAAGCCAAGCACTTGGAAGGGAGAAGATCCAGCAGCCGAGCTGTCTGCTGTAGTTGCCTGTGTCTCTAGCAGCTGTTCTGTAGGCAGTGCACCAGGCAGAAGATATGCCTTCAGTGAGTATAAGTTTCATTTCTCCAGTTTGAAGCTTGAAGAAATAGAAACCAGCTCCCTATAGCAGAGATTTAAGCAGTCATTGCTGAGCTCTTCATCTCTTTCCAGTTCTTTACAAGGAACCAATGGACGGCATCGACTTAGCCAAGTCTTGTTCCAGGTCACACAGATGGGGCATCACTTAATGGCAGGGATGCTCTGGCATCTGAGGCTCAGCCCAGTGTAGTAAAGAGCCCTGCACCTGATGGGGGAGGCACTAGTGGCTTGGCCCAGGGAGCCCCCTCGCTGGCAGACTGCTCCCAGGCACAGGTTGGGAAGCAGACCCTATAGCCTATGTACGTTCTTGATGGAGGCTGGGGAGGAGGGGAGCAAGGGAGGAGGAAGCCTTGCTGCTTCAAATGGTGTAGGGGGAAAAAAAAGTGGTGGAAGAACAGGATTTGTTCAGCTTGAGGGCACCAGTGAGGGAGTGGAAGAACTTTGTGGAAAAACTTCTCCCCTTACTCTTTTCATCATAAAACAGCTGGTCACAGGTGCCGTTCAAGTATCTTCCAGAACTTTGTTCCCCCTTTCTCGTTCCTAGTGACATAAAAACATACTTGTCCCCAAATTCTGTGCAGCCAATTCGATGCTTATTGAAAGGACTAGGCAAGTAGTTCTTCATTTACACCCACATGCAGCACCTGTATTGCTTTTATGGTCACAGGTGCTCACATGTGCATGCTTGCACAACACAGTCCTGCTTCATTCAGTGGAATGCTTCTGAGGAGGAGAATTGTTGCTGTTAAAGGCTGGGAGTAGTCAAGGAAGAGTGTTTTTCTCTTAATTAGTCAGAGGATGGTCTTTTTCCTTCTTGTATCCTTTTAGTTTCTGGAAATTCTTGTTATCCCTAGAGAAATGTCAAGTCCCATTCTTAGTCTTCCACGAGGCTTTGACGGTGTGATACGGCAAGGAAGAGTTTCGCATACTAAATTGGAGCTCTGCAAGGTTAATAGTCTGCTGTGAAAGCTTGCATTCTTTTAGGCCTTTAGCACAGGAGCTAGGGGCTCGTATGTGGGAGCTGGTGCAGTTTGGAATAATACAGTTTATAAAACCCTGATTATGTTTTTGAAGATTTCACTAATACTAATAAAAGGAGAATGTAGCAGTACTCAAATAGCTCCCCTACCCCCATCTGCTAGCAGGAAGATGATTAGCACAACTGCAGGAGTCCCATTTTTATTTGAAACATTTGTATTGTTTCATTCATTTTATTTTCTCTGGGATATACAGTGGCACCCAATCCACAGACTCAGTTTCTTCTTGTTTGAAAGAGATTTGTCTTCTTTCTTGTAGGTGCTCTGAACTTCTAGAGACGTGTTCAAGGAAACTCAGAGTGAATTAAGTGACTTAGTCTTGGACTGCCTGTGAGACCAGAATGAGCTTGGTGGACTTAAGTTGTCCATGATGAGTCTTAGGGCTGGTTATCTTGCGCTTGTACAGGGCAAACTGTATGTATTGGAAACCCAGGACCAGTAGATATAAAGACCTTTGAAATGTCAGTCATTGATTCAAAATCTAGCTCTTGGTTTTAATTATCTCAAGCCAACCATATTGTGCTGTAGCTCTTTGACCTGCTTGTGCTAGATGTTGCTGCCTCAGTTTTGGAAGCAATGCCGTGCCCTGTATTGACATGTACACAGTGCAAACAGTGGAGCCAATGAGTTTCCCTTGCAGTACTGTCACAGCCATTAAACCTCATTGAAAATCCTGCCACATCCACGGGAAGGGTGGTTTTTGGTTTTGTGTTGAAGACCAGGCCCTTCTCTCTTTGTACAGCACCTAGCATAAAGATACCTCTGTAAACTACCATGATATAAACAAGGTATTATAACTGCTTTGGGGACTTTCGGAAGCTGTTAATTTGGTAGCATTCCTCAGGACCAGCTACCTTTATTAAATAACTTAAGTGTGTGAACACATACAATAAATCGTAGGTACTATGGAAAAGTCATCTGCTACGTTTCTTTCAAGACAATCAGAAATGAGGGTCAATCCATGCTACTTCACCCATTCGTGATTTGTGAGCTGTAAAAGCAGTTAAAAAGAGACCAACAAGATAGGAAAATATTTTCTAGCTTCTTACAGGGCAATGTATGTGTAGAAGGACGAAAGGTAGCTCTAAAGGGGGAGCAGGAAAAAGGTGGCAACAAACTTTTGCTTAAAAAAACCCTGGAGGATGGTGACAAAGTAGGTGGGTTGACTTAGCTGTCAAATTTCCTGTCAGCCAAGATTTCACTGCTATTCCAGTGATTTCTCTGTACTTGCTGTGCATGCCCTTTCGCTCACAGATACCCAGTTAAGTGTAGCTGCTCTTTTGGGTGCTGCGAGGCCAAAGCACTTGGAGGATGTTTCCTTTTGCCTTCCAGTGGTGAAGGCAAAATGGGTTTGTATCAGCTTCTGTAAAAGTTAGGGACAACACATCAGACGCTTCTAAAAGGAAAACAACCTTTTGAAACATGTTGCCATTGGACACTGTGAGCATTTTGAGACTCAGACAAAGCTACGAACACGGGGAATGTCTGCTATTTTTGATCAAAAGGGCATTAAAGATTAAAAAGTTCATCTTGCAATGATCATGTTATTTCAGAGTTGTCCCATGTAAAAGTTTCTTCTGAAAGAATACATTTTCTTTGGACTCATTTGCTTTTGACCACTGTCAGAGATGCATACTAAGCAGCATAGCTCAGAGGCTAGATCTAATATAGTAACTAGTAACTTCCAGGTATGCGTTATGCATCCGAACAAAAGTCACCTTGAGAACAGGACAGGTAGGATTTCTTCTGCATAGGTAACTCTATCTTACCTGAAAACACTTCAGAACTTTCAACCCATCTTAAGAAGGTACCTTTTTTTTTATTTTATTTTTTTATTTTTTATTAGAATGGGTTTTCAGATATAAGGCGAATGGCTTGGCCAGCTCCATCGACAAGTCTCAAATCAAATGCTCCTGAAAATCCCTCTTGCCCAAAAGGTGTTCTCTGTACTCTTAGTGCACTTAAGAGCATTCAGTGGTATTGCAAGAATTGTTGCTGACAGAGAGCATGCAGTTACTGTTTGCCTTATTGTGAAAGTGTGTTTCATACTGCATTCTTCAGAGTCATCTGAAGATGACATTTGGTTGCCTCTCTGTGTGTCTTCAAGGGGGCTGTGTGGGCTAAAGTGAAACCCCGCTTCGATTTGTGGGTGCCTTATAAGATAATAGTGCTGTTGACAGGATGTGTGTTTGTTTCAGAGGTGGGTTTTGGACATTCAGTTGTCCGCGTCAGGTGGAGGTGGTAGACCACGATGGTTGCAACGTGTGTCTGGGTTGCTGAGGGCAGGGAATGTTCATCTATGCTTGGGAAAGGGTTGGCAGTGTGGTAGGGTGGAAGTAGTGGTAGACTGTGTGTTCCGTGTTGCTGCAAGGAGAGTTTGCAATGAGCGTTTGAGGCTGGGAGATGAGGATGTGTATAGCAGGGAGGTGCTGTGACAGGGCGCATGCGGTTAGCTGGGGTGGACGCCTGCAGGATATGGGTGGGGGAAGTGGCTTCAGCAGCAGCAGGGGCAACGCTCCACGTTCACAACGAAGCCTTTTCTTTCTACTTGTCCCCTAGATCTCCTACCCCCCAAGTGATGAGGACAGCGACGACTCTGAGGGAGAGAACCAGGAACTTGCTCAGATTGACAGAGGTAAAGGGAAAAGATAGGAGGGGCCCAGAATGCTACAGTGGAAGCACGTTTTGCTTTTTGTCTCTGCTCATGGAAGTGCCTTCTTCCCAGTTCCAGCTCCATCACAACCAGCTTCATTAAGTCGGTCAACTTAAAGTTTTTGAGACCTCATAGGGAGAATCTGTTGTTATCAAAGGCTTCTATCAAATGCTATCACTTAGTTTAGAAAAGGCAGAGGTCGCTAAGCACAGCTTAAGATGCTGTAGATTTGGGGTAGCAAAGGTCCCCAGTCAGGTCAGCAGCAGAGCTGGGACTAGCACTCCAACTTCTATTCTGTGTTTATGCTTCTCTATTATCTTGTTCCAGGCTTTCTGTCCCTTGCCATTTTCAGATTTGACCTTCTCTTGCCCCATTTCTGCACTAATTGATCAGAGGTAGCTCCCTCCCTCCTGTACCACTGGTATTAGGCTGCTCTATCCTTGGATGTAGCTGGGGATCTTTGACAGAGAGACAGGTGCTTTGCCATGATTTCTTGGTCCTGGCATGCAGCAGCTTATGGCTTCAGTGAAAGGGAAAATTCTGCTTGGCCCTATGCTGAAGTATGTTTAGCATCAATGAAACGAGCAGTAAACATGGCTGTTGAGCTCTGTTAAAGTTTCTGCCTTTTGTGCATGCTGTATGTTTTATCTGGAGCTCATAATCTGGCCAACTTTCTATGCAAGGGTTGTAGAAGTTAAATTCCTGACTCACAGGACATGTCCTGTCAGAATTCTAATCCTGGCTCCAGACATTTAACCTAGTAGTTCAGCAGCATAGTTAAAAAAAAGTACATAGCTTGTGGATGAAGGTAGACTTTTATCTAGCACATTTTGTAATTAAGGACCTTTACCTCCAAATACCCAAATTCAGGTTATTTGAGCCATAGCCATGCTTCTTAGAGTTGTGTAACTTAACCTCATCTTCCCTGGGATTTAGTCACTTGCATGTAATGTTTCTGGATAGAAACAAGTGACCAATAGCACATTTTGTAAGATGATGTCTTCTGCAGATTCAGGGATCCATATTCTTGTCAACAGATCCTTATTCTTGCCATGCGGATCCATATTCTTGGATCTGTATATGGACAAGATCTATATTCTTGCCATACAGTAGATTTCTGGGTGATGATTTACAAGGTGGTATCTAGCAGACTGGTCTAAACTAAGATCTGGGAACTTTCAAAGGGGAGCATTCAGCAGGAAAGTGTTTCTTCTGGGGAAGAAAAGGAGGCAAGCAGTTCATAAATCCACTTGGGAAGTAAAGAGAACAGACTGGGAGAGCAGGCCTGGTTTGATAGGTCACGAATGCAGATCTGCTAATTCTCTTCTTCCCACCAGAAAGAAGACGGAATTGTACCTTGACCCCTCTGGCCACCAACCAGCTTCAGAACCAAGAGAATCAATGCTGCAAGGTTCGGGCTCTTCTTCACGCCAGCCTGGATCGCCACAGCTCGGAAGAGGAGCTGGAGCGCATCAACCGGGAGTTCGCCGCGGAGAAGCGGAAGTGGTCACAGGTGAGCAGGCTCGCCTGCTGCAGCGACAGCAACAACACGTCCTCCAGCGACGACGAGGTGAAGAACTTGTGCGCCATGTCCTTCCGGCCCGTGGCCGAGCAGGCGGACAGCCTGCACACGAGCCCGAGCCCCGTGCTCTTCAGTGCCTCCCCTCCTAAGAGACTGCAGCCCCTGGGGCGCAACGCAGCCTCCAGACCTTTAATCTTCACGAGCGTCGGGGCGGGCTTTGAGCAAGTCATGCCTTGTAAGAGACACCGCCAAGGATATGGGGATAAGGTCAGCAGGCCCAGCCTGGACCTGGAAAAAATGCAGCAGGTAAGGTGGCACTTGGTGCAAGGAACGCAGCGTCACTTGAGAGCTAGTATTGTGAGCAAAGAGGAAAACGTTGTAAAGATGGAGTTCGGACGGTTCATAAAGCTGCTGCTTCTCGTGATCACATCTTCAGAGCCATGATCATTACTTCTGCCCTCTGTCTAGAATGAACTAGGCCTAAGTTGAGGGAGGGCTTCTCTTTAGAATTGAAACCTCTGCTAAGTGAGTGTTTCTTGTCAGAGTTGGGCTATTCTCTATCTACCCATTGAGAAAGAAGCATCTGTACTGGCCAGTTTGTTGCATGACAGAGGAACAAAATCCTTAGATTCCACATGAGTGGGGTTACCCCAGGAGCGATGAGCTGATCCGTAACATTCATACCCAAGAAAATGGTTGCTCGGGGCTGTATAAAGAAACATCTGAGAGATTAAAGTAGTCCTGTGTAAAGAAATATCTGAGAGACGAAAGTAGTCCTAGGTGTGATGGTGATGATGGATATCACTCCATGTTTCTTCATGCCCTGGGACTGGGTCTCCTTTTTCCTCCTGTATTTTTTACAGCAGTGCAAAACACTGTGTGTTACATTCTTACCAGTTTACAAATAAAAACTGTTTACAGTTTGCTCTAGATGCAGGAATGACCTGCGTGGTACTGGTGCGGTCAGCTGGCCTCACTGGCCCCTCTCCAGCACCACCAGCTTTGAGAAGGTTTTAGTTGCAGAGTTAATATTTCAGCTCCTCCTTATTTAGCTTTCGTCTTGCACTGGTGTAGTGTCTGTTTGGAAGAGAATCTCCAGACATTTGCTGACCCTGGTAAATTGCAGTTAGTTACAGACAGTTATTTTCTGTTCTGATTTCCTCTCATTAGGGAAGAATTTCCCTGATTTTATTTGGTTGGATGTACCAAATTTAACCTCATTAACATCCCCTTTAAGCCTGTGAGACAGTCCCACTAAAAGAAAGAACTATGTATTTATTTTCCAAGATCTGTAAAAGTGAGTCCCCTCAATTTCCCCATTACATAGTGCCTGTTCTCAATCCTGTTGGCAGCATATATCCCATGAATGCATAATGCAGAGTCTTGTGGTTTCAGTACAGTTTTCCTCACCCCCTCCTTTCCCTTCTTGCCAAGTTTCTGCTCACAGAACATTCTAAATGCCCCGTCCTGCATTTCACATCACCTAAATCTTCCAGTGATACTGACAGCAGACTTTTAAAATTAGTCTCACATTGTAGTGAGAGGAGGAAAAAGACGAAGAGCCTGTGCCCTGTCTCTCTATTTTTTTTATTTTATTTTTTTTTCCCCTCTTTTTGAGAGAGAGAGTGCGCAGGGAAATTTACTTTTCAGCCCAAGTGCATTTTCTGATTCAGCTTCTAGGTTAGCATCCACCTGGCCTGCCTTGCAGCCCCTTGGGTTTGGAGCAGTGGGTTTGGAAGTGTGCTGGCAACCCCGACGCTGGGCAGGGTAGAGGCTCAGTTGCATAAGCTTTCCAAACAGCGGGGATTTTTTGTTTGTTTTTAGGTTTGGGGTTTTTTTTTGTGCTCTGTGAAACCTTATGAGAATGATCTGCTTCCTGGGCCTTCTGCTCACTGCTTTTCTGTGTTATTCTGTGTCAATGATTCTTGCAGGAATCATTGAAATCAGTTGAAGTTGGTTTTTTTTTTTTTAAATAACATTTTTATTATAAATGTCATTAACACAGTTTTTGGAATCACAGCTTTAAAGAAAGGTCATAGTTTTGATTAAAAGTATGTGCTTTTTTTGCCCTCCTTCCCTTTCCCCAGAACATACGCACACACAGACACACACACACACACAAGCACAACATGGGATGCAGCTTGAATTACCTAACATGGAGGCATTTTTTTGGTTAATTTTCAGCCACTGAAAACTTGAAGCTTTTATAATTAGTTTTTGCTTGATCTTGTCTTGTTTCCTGCATGTTTTTTCTTACTACTTGTGCTTTCTTTTGTTGTTGTACAGAAATTGGGACAGAAATGTTCTTGATCTTCTTTTCTTATGTTAGTGATCTGAAATCTGGGTTCAGTTTTGAGTTCTGCTACAGAATCCTTGTGCCGTGCAGAYAGGCAAGTCATGTTCAGTCCCTGATTCCCCATCTACAAAATGAGCGAGGCTGTTCTTTTCTTCATCTGTCTGCATTCTCCATCAAAATTGCTTCACAACAGCTGGCACCATGTGTTTTTAGTCAGGAATAAATGCAAATGCGGAATGATAATATTAGTTGGCTTCTCCAACGTTCCACCTGGCCCTGAACATCAAAGCTGTTCTTGCTTTGTGACTCTTACCCTGATTATAATGTGCTTGGCCATGAGACTGCAGCTGATAAACTTGATATATGGAAACTATTTTGAGTATCAGGTGCAGTCTCTGCTCTTGTCCCTGAGCCTTCCTTCCTGTTCCTGTAGTTCTGTGAAGCTGACAGCAGGTGACAAAGAGTATCAGTCAAGATTCATTTGTGCTATGAGCAAATGTGTTCTGAGACGAGAAGGTATTTTTTGGCAYGTGATGTGGAAGGCTCAAAGTGGGCGAGGAGATGCAAAATGCTCTGCCATTGCATCAAATCCTGTTTGGATGGTGATGGGAAATGGGTCGAGCGCTGTGGGGTGGAGAGGGGCCTGTGCTGAGACTTTTAAGGCAGCTTTTATGGGAAGGCCACAGGCTGCTGGTATGTGCTGTCAGAATTTCTCCCTGTGCTTCAGTGATGTGATGCCTTTTGATATAGGAAAGAGRCAAATTTGGGAGACTTAAGTGGGTTGGGGCAGTCTGAAAGCATTTAAAAGAGCAGGGAATTGCTGCGTTTCTACCTCTCTGTCCTGTTGATACATGGGGACAGCTGTGTCATCCAGGCTGTTCAGTTCAACCTCCCTCAGCAGGAGAAGCCCTACAGGACCAGGCTGACAAGTCCTGCTCTGGTTGGATGCCAGAGGAGGCTTTTCCRGCCTCGCAGGGTGCTGTGATGCTGCCCTTTGTGCCAGAGCTTGGGCAGTTGGCCGGCGCGTTGGCCGGTCACCTATCCTCTTCCCTCCTGAGGCTGAGCAAGGGGGATTCAACACATGCTTTTCTTCACCTCTCCAAAGGACCAGAAAATTAGCTCAGGAGACCTCTTCTTTTCTTWCCCTTAATTGGGCTGAAATGCCCTGGCTCGTGCAGACACACGCACTGCTCCAGTGAATGCCCTCTCCCAGCTGCCCCTTGATCTTGGACAGCAGTCTAATTACACACGGGCCCTGCTGCCAGCCCTCTGCTGCTTAATGAAGGTCGGGCACATTCCAGGGAGACCGGCGCTGCTGCCACGCTCTGAACACGAGCGGCTCCTGCTTTTTGGGCAGTGCCAAGGGCGGCAGGTCAAGGGCAGAGAGATGCCTTGATGGCTTGGGCCGAAGGCTGCAGGGGATGCCAGGGTTAGCTGAGGTGTGAGGAAGTCCAGAATACTGCTCAGGCTCCATGGAGCTGCTGAGCTGGGTCCCAGGGGATGAGGCTAATTGTTCTTGACGTGSTGTGTAAATACATGAAAGAGAAGCAAAGGATCCATCCTCCTGCACTGGATGATGGGACTTACTGCAGCTTTTTGGGTTTTCCTGCAGCTGGAGGTAGGTTTTAGAGTACAGTATGCAGGAAGGTAGATCATAATCCAAGCAGACCAACTTTGAGAGGCAGGTGGGAAATTCAAATGGCCCTCAGCTAAGAACGGGTAGGTGGCTGGCTGGGAAATCATGGCCTTAAAGTACAAGGCCAAGAGTTGGGCTACCTGAGCTGTGTTGCCRATTGTGCTCCTGTGTCACTTCTGGCACTTGACTGCTGCTTTGTGAGTTGGGCTGCACTGATGAGCACAGGGTGAGGTTGCAGTCTCTGCAGCACAGCTGGGCTTTGCCCTTGCCTGCCTTGCAGGACTTGACAAATAGCCTCCAGATAGAGAACGTGTGAGCTCGGGAGCCCTTTTCACCTCCAGGCCTCCAGTTTGAATGCAGCCCTTGTCAGTTACTGAAAATTGTTATCAGCTGTTCACTCCTCTGAGCTTGGCTCTCTCTTCCCATGGGGCAYTGGCAAATCCACTGCTGGCACTGGGGGTGTTTTATTGCCCTCTCTGGCCTCGGCCACCGTATTCCTCAGTGGCTGAGCAGAGTTTGCGTGCTGTGCTGGGCATAACAGTGGACAGCAAAAGCGTAATAGTTGTTCCTCATCTTAAGCTCTTTGACTCTCTTCTCTGCTGCTACCATTTTGATTTCTTATGGCACTTGGGACATCTGAGTTTACACTGTTTCTTTAGGGGCCAGAACTTCTCCCAGGTATGAAAAGCTGGGCCATAGGAATTSTGTGTTCCCAAATGCTGTAGTCTGCTGGTTGAAGCAATATAACAAGGAAACTGCTGAAGGGACCGATAGTGCCATTACAGAATGAGAAATATGGCTTCTGGTAACCTCCTGCAATTCTGCTTTTATTTTTTGTCCTCAGAAAATATTATACACCTGCTGTTTTTTCAGCAGGGAAGCCCCATCCCTGGCATGGGAAAATTTGGGGCTGGAAAAAGTGTGTTGAATGCCTGCCTGGGAGGGTGTAGCTCTGTGGCAGGAGCAGTAGGACTGTGGACAGGTAGGGTGCAAGTGGGTGGAGTAGAGGTATCTTGCTCCTTGTCTCTTTGGAGGAGGTGAGGAGATGTCTGTTGATGTCTGTTGCGAAGTCTCTTGGGCTTAGTGTCCCCAGCTGACAGCTGGTTTGCTGATTAAGTTATTTGCAGTCCGATAGTGATGGAGGGAGGGAAGGAAGGAGGAGTACTTTAAAGAACACCCAGGTTTGGGAACTGGAGAGATTCAGCAGTGAGGGAAGGCGTGAGGAACCCCACCCCACTCAGAGGAGATGATTATGGCTCTGCCAGGCAGCAGATATCCTTGTCTCTTCTTTGCCTCCCCTAGTTGCTCTCTCTGTTATCTCATATCTGGGAGATGGTTTCTGTGCAAAGACAGGCTGCAATGGAAGCTCCTGCA